CCTTTTATTTAAAATGGTTGAGTATGGCCTAGAAACTTTGAAACCAAGGGTCTGTTCTGTAATACCTTTTATTTAAAATGGTTGAGTATGGCCTAGAACCAGACTTTGAAACCAAGAGTCTCTTCTGTAATCTGCATCTTGTTGCTTCAAAATTTCACTCCTCACTTTGGAGCCATGGGTGCACCATAAGAGTGACAGTCAAAAACCAACTGTTAGATCAAAGAAAATTGGGTGCTATTTACCAGCTGCATCTAGACAGACCTTGTGTAGCTTTGCACAAATAACCAAACCCAGCAACTAACTTTAAATATGATATATATATAAGACTGTAGACAAATCTGTAATCAGTTTGGTAGATAAATGGGTTTGAAAACATTTGTTTAAAAACCTGTGTAACTCTGATTGATAATTCTAGGATTTAAGAAAAATCACAATGTTGCGTGAACTGAATATTGAAAATTATTTTTCTGTTTTATGGTTATATAAACTATAAAAATATTTCAATTTAAAAACTTGTAAAATGTGTTTGTTAGAAGAGAGCAGTCGGTGTTACAATATCAAATATTCATTCATCATCAAGTTTGATTTTGTGATCATTCCGTTCTTTTTAAATTTTTGAGTCGTGTTAAATCCCCAACATATTGAAAAGTACATTTACTGTGACTACTAACTGAATTGATCTCGTACTGGACTTATGAATATTACTGTGTAAATATAAATGTTTCTGATTTTTTGTTCTTTATAAACTTTATAAATATCGGTCGTATACCATTAGAGCTTGCTGCTGGCACAGTAGTGACTCTTTAGGCTTATAATGCTAAAAATCAGGTTTTGATAGTCGATTGTGTAGTTTGTGCTTAACAACAAAACAAACAAAGTCTGGCACAGTAGTGACTCTTTAGGCTTATAATGCTAAAAGTCAGGTTTTGATAGTCGATTGTGTAGTTTGTGCTTAACAACAAAACAAACAAAGTCTGGCACAGTAGTGACTCTTTAGGCTTATAATGCTAAAAGTCAGGTTTTGATAGTCGATTGTGTAGTTTGTGCTTAACAACAAACCAAACAAAGTCTGGCACAGTAGTGACTCTTTAGGCTTATAATGCTAAAAGTCAGGTTTTGATAGTCGATTGTGTAGTTTGTGCTTAACAACAAAACAAACAAAGTCTGGCACAGTAGTGACTCTTTAGGCTTATAATGCTAAAAGTCAGGTTTTGATAGTCGATTGTGTAGTTTGTGCTTAACAACAAAACAAACAAATAAACAAAGTATTTGCTAGAAACAGACATTCTAACTGTAGTAATAGAAATGAGAATTTTTTAATTAGAAAACTATTATTTTAAACTGGGTTTTACAAAAACCTCCGTTTCTTTAATAGCAGAAGTAGTTACATTTGAATGATCGACCACAATGCACTTTTACTTGTTAGCTATAATTAAAAAGCTGTGTGTGTTAGGGTTAAGAAAACTTTGATGAGCTTATGAGGAAAGTTAATTCACATTTTTTCCATAAAGTCGTAGAGTAGTTTTAGTGAATTATGCAATAAGGCATCTAAAGGTGGATAGAACTGATCCACAATTAAGAAATGCAAAAAAAATGTTCTTCTAATTTTCTACACATTAAACCCTCATACTTGGACTGAAAAGTGTGATTTTAACATAATGTTTTTAATATTATCGATTATGACTACAAATCTTTATGTCGGGGTAATTACCAAGAGTTGCTGTTTTTCAGGTCTACAAACATGCAAAGCGGTTTGGATATGGAGACCATGACATATCAGCAGTATATCTTCGAGCCCGGTTTTGATATCTTCAGAAGGTTTTTAGAAATCCTGCCTTTCTCAGCTATGGCTCTTCATGGAATGATACGTGGTCGTTTTAAAGGCCATTTCTCCGAATTGAAGTGTTATTTTCATGCAAAATTTTGTAATTTGAAAGATATATAATCCAAGAACTGCTCGATCATTATTTTTTATGGACGTCTTTTATAAAAATGTACATAAATTTTTGTTTATACTAAGCTGTTTTCTCATTTATTGAAGGAATACATCTCAGACTAATCATTGCATCTCTGGTCCAAAAAATATCTGTCAACTCAGGTTGATCTTGATGAAAAATGTTAACCTTCACAACTGTACTAACATATGAAGGACTGGTATTGATGGAGATATTACCAATGCCAAGCAAATTTTTAATTATTGCTCTAAGTTTTTATAAAACAATTTGAAAATGAAGTTACTGAAAAAATATGCAAAACACGGATGATTATATAACATAATCAAATATAAGCCAAAATTAATTAGTAAGTCAAGTAGAATATATAATGACTTTCAGGATAAAATGAATAATATATACTTCACGTCAAATATAAGCCAAAATTAATTAGTGAGTCAAGCATAATATATAATGACTTTCAGGGTGAAATTAATAATATATACTTCACATCAAATATAAGCCAAAATTAATTAGTAAGTCAAGTAGAATATATAATGACTTTCAGGGTGAAATGAATAATATATACTTCACATCAAATATAAGCCAAAATTAATTAGTAAGTCAAGTAGAATATATAATGACTTTCAGGATGAAATGAATAATATATACTTCACATCAAATATAAGCCAAATTTAATAAGTAAGTCAAGTAGAATATATAATGACTTTCAGGATAAAATGAATAATATATACTTCACATCAAATATAAGCCAAAATTAATTAGTAAGTCAAGTAGAATATATAATGACTTTCAGGATGAAATGAATAATATATACTTCACATCAAATATAAGCCAAAATTAATTAGTAAGTCAAGTAGAATATATAATGACTTTCAGGATGAAATGAATAATATATACTTCACATCAAATATAAGCCAAAATTAATTAGTAAGTCAAGTAGAATATATAATGACTTTCAGGATAAAATGAATAATATATACTTCACAGATATATTTATTTTTTTTTAGCCTTTTTATAAATTTAATTCTGTCAAACATATATATAACGTTATAAAATTAATAGAATACACACAGAACATTAAAAATAAGTTCATCATTGTAGAGATTGTTTTACCTAAAAGAAGAGAGAGCATAAAATGAATTATTTTAAAATCATACCCACACACTTGCTCAATTTACTTTCTATACTTTTATAAAAATTATATTCACTTTAGTTGTTGTATGAGAAAAGACAGTGTTTACATGATTCACTTTAGGTGTTATATAAGAAAAATAGTGTTTACATGATTCACTTTAGGTGTTGTGCGAGAAGACCCAGTCCACAGTGTTTACATGATTCACTTTAGGTGTTATATAAGAAAACAGTGTTTACATGATTCACTTTAGATGTGCGAGAAGACCCAGTCCACAATGTTTACATGATTCACTGTAGGTGTTATATAAGAAAAGACAATGTTTACATGATTCACTTTAGGTGTTGTATGAGAAAAGACAGTGTTTACATGATTCACTTTAGGTGTTGTGTGAGAAAAGACAATGTTTACATGATTCACTTTAGGTGTTATATAAGAAAAGACAGTGATTACATGATTCACTTTAGGTGTTGTATGAGAAAAGACAGTGTTTACATGATTCACTTTAGGTGTCGTATGAGAAAATACAGTGTTTACATGATTCACTTTAGGTGTTATATAAGAAAAGACAGTGTTGACATGATTCACTTTAGGTGTTATATGAAGAAAAGACAGTGTTT